AACGGACAAGAATGACTTTAGATCGCGGCCATTCAACCCTTTTCTTATTAGGACGGTTCCCCGCCCCACGATGGGAAGCCCCGCAAGCGCCCCTCCTCCTAAGATTACTCTTCTCGAGATCATTTAAGAAGCGTTTCTTAAGACCTGTTCACTCTTGCAAGCTTGTTTGAACTTTATACGTAATATTTGACAATGGCACCCACTCTTAAACCTTTCCGCGCTGAGCATATGGGCTCTTTGCTCCGACCTCAAGCTCTTCTTGACGTCAGAGAGCAGATCCGTGAGAAGGGTCTTAGCCCCGAGAACGCCGGCCTTGAGACTGTGGAGAACGATGCTGTTAAGGATGTTGTCAAGATGCAGCAAGATCTAGGCTTCAAGGCCGTGACCAGCGGCGAGTTCACCCGTACTCGCTTCTGGGGTCTTATGTGGGACGAGTTCGAGGGAACGACCCAGCTTTCTGATGCTGATGCCTCCATGTTCCGGCTTTACCACCCTGACGTGGTCAGCTTGATCGAGACTGATCGCCAGGTCATGCCTGGAGAGTCAGTCATTGCTGGTGGAAAGCTTTCCCACAGCCCTGAGAAGTCTGTTTCGAACCTTCATGAGCTGAAGCTCGTTCAAAATTTTGTGCCAAAGGAGGATTGGGCTTCCATCAAGCTTACTATGATTACTCCTGCCTGGTTCCATATGCGTTATAAGCAAGGCAAGGCATATACTCCCGAGGCGTACAAGAACGACGAGGAGTATTTCAAGGATGTGGCCAAGGTCTACCAGGATGAGCTTGATCAGCTTTACAAGGCTGGTCTGCGAAATGTTCAATTTGATGACCCTGGAATGGCTTGTGAGTTGACTTCTTGGGGTGTCGATGACAAAAAACTGACACCGTGTAGACTTTTGCAGCCAGAAGTTCCGTGATGGCTGGGCTGCTGACTCTGATAACATTGGCACCGTCGATGATCTTCTAGATGCTTATATCAAGCTCTACAACGACAGTCTCTCCAAGATCCCTTCAGACATGCACACAGGTATTCATCTCTGCCGTGGCAACTTCATCGGCGGCCGTCACTTCGCCGAAGGTAAATACGACATCATCGCTGAAAAGCTTTTCCGCAACCTCAACGTAAACACATTCTACCTTGAATACGATACCGAGCGTGCTGGTGGTTTTGAACCTCTTCAGTTCCTCCCTAAGGACAAGAATGTTGTTGTTGGCGTTATCAGCACCAAGTTGCCTCAGCTGGAGGATAAGGAGGAGATGAAGAAGCGTGTCCTGAGTGCAGCGGATTGGGTGGCAAAGGGAACTGGCGAGAGCCAGAAAGAAGCGCTGCAGAGAATCGCTGTCAGTCCTCAGTGTGGATTCAGTACTCATGAGAGCGGATATCCCCTCAATCTCGAGGAAGAAAAGAAGAAGCTTGCATTGGTTAGAGAGATCGCCAACGAGATCTGGGGCGAAGCTTGAGCATTATGCATATACACAGACGAATAAATAGCAAGTTGGCATAAGTTCATGCAGTCTAATAAGAATTCAAGCGCATCGCAAACGAGACATCACATAGATACCAGATTATGAGGACAACCAGACCGTCGATCTGGAGCTTAAAAGAGCAAAGGGTACATATACTCTCAGTGCGACACAGTAACCACAGTTCCTCACTACAACCGGCTAAAGTCGGCTATTCTTCCGTAGTATAGTGGTCNNCAATTCCCGGCGGGAGAGATCCGCCACATGTTCTAAACATGCAAATCAATGTTTTGCAGTTTTTGCTTTTGGTGGTTTGTCCTTTTACTTCTCTTGGGGATGATCTGGCAATGGTTGCGGTGGTGGTGCAACTCTAGTTTTATCTACAACTGCTACTCAAGCTCCTCTATGCTGATGTCTGAAAAGTCTGCTGGATCCAATACAGGCTGATTCTTGCCATAGGAATAAATTCCAAACATTGTTCCGGCAAAACATCCTCCGTGGGGTGGCATCGCCGTCAAGGCACTGGCGTTGACAGTATATACCTCTGACTCCCTTCCTCCAGCCTTGAGAGAAAGCTCGTACTTGGTCGGGTATGCACGGATAGACAATTCAACGTTTTCGAGGTTACCTCCAAGATCTGTCTCTGAAGTCTAGTGGCAGTATCAGCTTCTGCTCAACAGTATGGCTTGTGACTTACTTTGAATTCATTGGCATTCCCAGCAGCTCCTTTATAGACGACCCTGTTCTCGACCTTTCCACTCTCATTTTCTGAAGCGACGACCCCTAAGGAAGCATAAGAATGCTGGCTCCACCATAGGACAACACCAGCTTCGTAGCCTCGAACTGTAGGGCTGAAATTCATTTTGACTTTAAATACCTGGTTGTACGAGGTCTGTTTCCTAAGAAGCATGGCCGGAGCCTCAGGAGATGTTAAGTCGTAGCAGTTCCCGTAGAGTCTTAGCACACCCGGCTTTTCTGTAAGAGTATAACTTTGCTTGATGGGTGTATCTCGGATATGTCAGATTGACTCTCAATTATTCGAAGAGAGAGCTTACTCTTTTGGTACCACCCCAATTCCAGCTCATCTTTTGACAGATCGGCCTTCCACGTCTGAAAACTTTGTTTCGAGGCTGATTTTACAAGAGCTCTTCCTGTAGTCTTCAGCGTGATATTGTTGCCGTCATTGAAGACTGGCCAGTCGTCCTTCCACTCAACCTTGACGAGAAAGGTTTCTCGTCCTATCGAAGTTAGCTTAGTCCAACCACAAAGATGATTAAGTGATACCTAGTTGTGGTTCCAAAAACGCCCCCTGGTGTTGCACTGGTCGAACACCCAGTAGGACTGACCACCAGTCTCCGTTTCCATCCTCAAAGACATCAACATGTCCCGTTCTTTGGACCTCTTCATCGGGTCCATTATACCAAAGCGGCTTTCCCTGGCTTTCCCATGGACCTAATGGGCCATCTCTGCTACGAAACACCCACTCTTGATGACCGGCTTCTGTGCCTCCTTCAGCGGTCAAGAGATAATACCAGTCTCCTCGCTTGAAGATATGAGAACCCTCGGCAATTCCATGAGGAGACTTTCGGATGACCTTCGGGGCGGTGAGGGTTTTTCCAGTTGAGATGTCGATCTCGGATATGTGAATTCCAAAGTCCTTTTGCTTCGAGTTGGGGTCTCGCCAGGCGAAGCGCATTGTAGTTGAGAGATAGACCTTCCCATCGTCGTCCCAGAACAACTGGTCCTGTCAGCATTACAGCGAGAAAGTTGCTGTAGTTTACTTACATCTTGGTCAAAACCAGGGTTGTCAAAGTATACTGGGTCGGACCATGCATTGTCATCCCAGATATTGTCCGTCCAGACATAGAACCCTCTAGGGAAGATACGTTCCTGCCCATAGTTGTTAGATACTGATCATATTTTGTCTCTTTCATTCTCATAGCTTACATCGACAGTTGGTCGGTAGCGGTGGAAGACACCATTAGCCAAATACCATCTCTTCTCCTGAGGTCGATATCTCAAAGTACTGGCCCAACTACCAGCACCAGGTTCAACGGTACGCATGTCAATTTGACTTCGACGGTTGAGCGCATGACCAATAAGTTTCCAGTCAATTAGATTGGTTGACGTGTAAATGGCGCATCCGGGAAAGAACTCAAATGTTGAAGTGCTGAGGAAAAACGCCGTTGGGGTTGATTCTGTAGCGGGAACTACACAGATGGTAGGATCCGGGTTGAAGCCCCGAATGACGGGGTTTAGAAACATGGGACTCGATTCTTCAGCCATTATGTTTTCCTTAACAATGACAAAGCCAAGGTTGCTATCATCATAGAGATTCTTAGGGTTGACGGTCGACGGGGTTTATATAAATCTCTCGAGTCGGTTGAGCCACACCGAGATGCTTAGCAGCTCCGGGGCTATGTCCACCAAGCTATTAATTTTCCATGAATCAGCGTCTGTTAAACATCCCCCAAACTTTACGTTCGATCTTGCGGGGCCATTCGTCAACCCCCAAACATACCACTTGTAGGCCTAAAACTCGTTGTTTGTCCAATCGTTGAACGAAACCGTTACTTTGGTTTGCATCAGTCACAACCTTCGAAATACTGTTTGGAGTGAAAGTTACTCGTTTCATCTAGGCCAAAGGTTCTCCTTACGACTTGCATGCCTCTTATATGGCTTACTGACTCATTGACTGCTAGAGCCGACTTTGGCATTTGAAATCGATAGGACTTCTCATCTACACAAGCCTACATAGACCCTTTATCATATATAGCCTGAATGCCAATATCTTCCTAGTTGGTGAAGCCCATGTTCTTCCGTAAAGCGTCGTCTCCCAGATCAAGACTCACAGAGAGCCGGCCAAGAAGCATTAGTTAGTCCAGAAGATCTCCAGGCCAGATCTCATCTTAGTCCCCATATAACCTACGATGATAAACAGCAGAAACTGAAGCCTGAATGAAAGGGCTGTTCGCTCGTGTCATGAGCAGTCAGGCTCTCAGTGCAATGATTGATGGTGATTTAAGTAACTTCAGCAGTGGCTTGAGGCTCTAGAAATAACTTTAGACGGAAGGATGTACAACTCCAAGCAATGGGATGAGAAAACCCTAAACAATCCTCAACAAATGTTTATCTCGTATCATTATATGTAGAGAACTCTAATGTAAAGCATCAACAGGAATTCTTAACCAACACATCGCCAGTGACCAACTCATTGACAACAACTGAGTATGCCACCATGATTTTTTTCTCACTTTTCTCTACTGAATATGTTGTATTCTTTACATAGAATGATAGAAAACGTAGAGCGTCGTAAATCAATTTCACGTGTAATCTCAATTTAGGAGGCTTTTATCTGTCTTCGGTTTTCTGCCTCAACAAGATTTCATCCTCTCGGTGATAATGCAGATCGAATGATGAGTACAGAAGTAGCACTGCGCCAGAGTTCCCACACTGACCACTCGGCCTTCATTGAACTGGAAGAACATATACTGGTCCAAAAGGTGCTCTGATAGGTACGCACTGTGTTCAACCCTAATCTCCCAACTTGCGGCGTAGTATGACACGTCAACAACACTGATACAAATTAAATATGGTTAAAAGAATTCCCTGAAGCATCATTGGTTTGGAAGTTATCATATGTCTTTCCGATGGGCCGACGAAACAGCGGGTAAATCCGTGTTAGGAAGTCAAGTAACATGCAGTTTACCGAGGACAGGGGACAACCAACATATAAAACGACCAGAGATGCTGATATGTTGCTTCACATGTCCACAAAACACTACCCCTCTTCTATCGATATGGCTCAAACTCAAGAAGTTGATCCCGCGGCCATCGTGCCTGAGGACGTCGTAAGCGGAGATGACCTGAACAAGAGGCATATCTGACTATCGCTAGGCTCAGGATACTGACTCTTCCCTTGGCGAGGTGTGATCCTCCTGGCGATACAAATTTACTGTCCTTGTGGTCTGACGATTTGTAGGATCTCCAGTCTTCTACGGCGAGTGTCTCCAGCTCGATCCTGGATTATCGTCGTGAGAACGGCAGAACATATCATGCCTACAAAGATGGAAGTAATACTTTTGAATCCCAAACTCGAAGCCCAAATGCTAACCCATTAATAAGAATATGCCTTGCCAAATGATGAGGCTGAAAATGAGAGACTTGGTATGATAGCCACCTTCAAAAAGGGAACCTTAGATGCTAATCACCCAAGATCTTCAACATAACCTGTTTCTGCTCACTTTCGATGATAAACTCGGCTTATCACCGCCAAACAAACTAGATACCAAGGTCAAGCATGTTCTGGATGTCGGGACAGGTACTGGCATCTGGGCTATCGATTATGCGGATGAGCACCCTGAAGCTCAGGTAATTATGCCGTCTCAGGGCGACTGCTTGTCTTCTAACATAATGTCTAGGTAACGGGGGTTGATCTGTCGCCAATCCAACCAGAATTGTATGACTCAGTATGAGAATGCATAAGCTTTCACTAACGACTGTAGCGTCCCACCGAACGTGAACTTTGTTATCGATGATATTGAGGATGAATGGACTTACAGTCAGCCATTTGACTATATTCATAGTCGTGTCATGACATCTTGCATCGCAGACTGGGGCGACTATCTCAAGAAGTGTTTCGAGTAAGTATGGTTCAGGGCTCTTCTGTTCTAGCTAATAAGTGCAGCAACCTTGTCCCTGGTGGCTATCTCGAGGTCCAAGAAGTCGACGTAAATATTAAGTCAGATGACGGCAGTCTCAGCCCGGATAACATCATGCTCAAGTCTCTGGCCCTGTTGAATGAAGCGTCTGTCATGTTTGGTCGACCATACCTTGATATCCTGTCTCTCGTGGACATCATGAAAAACATCGGCTTTGAGGATGTTGTTGTTGAGAAGTTCAAGTGGCCCATTAACCCTTGGCCCCGAGACAAGAAAGCCAAGCTACTTGGAAGTTGGTGCTATACCAATATGGCTTGCGGTCTTGAAGCGTTCACGATGGCACCATTGACTCGTGCTCACGGATGGACACCCGAGGAAGTCAATCTCTGGCTGGTCCATCAGCGGAAGGCGATGGCTGATAGAAACACCCATGCCTACTGGCCGCTGTAAGTTGACTTCCAACTTCGCGAGGACATATCTGACTAGAAACTAGCTATTCGATCTATGGAAGCAAGCCATCAAAGGAGAACTAATAGGCTGGATGTTCCGGGGGAGTAAGCCATGTTAAATAAGGGTGTTGGGATAAAATGGTCTAAATGTTTACTGCCATATACTAAACTTATCCAAGTCTTTTCGTTATCTAGGATAGAGATCCTAAGTTTTTCTTGCTCCTCTCTGGGGCTTGGTAGAATTGCTCGCGTCAAATGTAAAGGTTGGCTTTAGCCAGGTAATGCTAGCCTGGGCGGAATTCCGCCTGGTGGGGTTGCAGGGGATAAAGTCAACCAAATCGAGACATTCTCGTCCATCGAAACATTCATTCACTTACACACATCAATCTCACTAAACCCATACAATGTCCGCCACTCAACTTAACAAAGTAGCCATCTTCGGTGTAAGGCATCCATCCATGATGCAAATTTTGTATGCACTAACACAGCTAGGCCTCTGGCAACTTCGGCACCCCCATCACTGCAGCTCTCACCAAAGCTGGCTTCAACGTCACCATCATCACCCGAAATGAATCAAAGTCCACCTTTCCAGATGGCATCCCTGTAATCAGAACAGACTATAATCTGGAAGCACTCACCCAAGCGCTTTTTGGCCAAGACGCCGTTGTGTGTGTTGTCGGTCCAGCCGGCATCAGTCTGCAAGCGACCATGATTGACGCTGCGCTCGCCGCTGGAGTCAAACGCTTCATCACTGATGACTACGGCTGGGGTCCAGAGTTCAGAAGCTATCCTGAATTCGAAGCGGTGCGTGCTCAGCGAACCGTTGGTGTCGATCGCGCAAAAGAACATGCTACTGCAAACCCCAACTTTACTTGGACCAGTATCGCGACTGGCAACCCCATTGACTGGGCGCTAAAACGGTTCCCTACTATGGGATTCGACATCAATAATCGCCGTGCAATCATCTATGATCAAGGCGAAGAGTACTTTACTGGAACTACTCTTGAAGGGATAGGTCAGTCGGTAGTTGGAGTCCTTCAACACCCTGAAGAAACAGCGAATCAACACGTCAAAGTGCTCTCCATCAAAACATGTCAGAATGAACTGTTGGAAGCATTTCAGAAGGGAACGGAAAGCCAATGGGATATACAGAGACGAACGACTCGTGAGCTTATCGATGGAGCGCGAAAAAAGCGTGACACTGGTGAAGGCGGCTGGATTCTTGACTTGGCTGTCGCTCAATTGTACGAGGCAGCTGAGGGAGGGAAAGCTCGCTGTATCGTTGCGCTGTCGTGGGAGGAGTCGGATTCTGGGCTGCTCGGGGTTACTAAGGAATCACCGGAAAGCATTGTCGCTTCTGTTCTGGCTGGTGTTTGATACATATAGTTAGCTTCGTGTTCTGTAATATTTCCTACTATTTTCGATATTGTATTAAAAGGCCGATGTCACTGGGCTCACTCGTCAATATATACATTATCTCTGAAAGCAGATCTGCAGCTGGATGCCTGTTTCTGCCCCGCCGATCCCAAAGCCTCTATATTTTTAGAAGAGTTTTAGGGCATAACCACCAAAATTTTCCGAATTCCCGTCGTCTTGTAGCTATCCCGTTGGAATTACTCTAGATTTACGGAGTATGTGTCGCTGCTCTATTCCAAACTACGACCAAATGAAAGATTTCCTCGATTAAGTGAGAAACCTCGTCCCCCTAAATCACACTTTTAGAGTATATGCTGGCAACTAATACAGAGTGTCGAGCTCGAGAGAAGATGTATAAATGCCAAAATGGTCGGTACGACCAGTAACTGCAGTCTCACCTGTCAGAAGGTATTCAAGATCAAAGCAAGGCCTAAGCAAGACAGGCATCTACAGCTACGTTCATGTTAATAAATGGTAGGAAGGTAATAAAAAACTTTTTTTAAGGCTATATAAGCTACCTTTATACTCAATCTTTTGCCAGCGGTTGCCCGCTGGCCTATTGGTCTAATTGAAAAGATACAGAGAAGATGTAAGTGTTGCCCCTGCACTAAGGATGACACATGTAATCAAAGAGACGCAAACCATTTTTTTGACCATTTTTACAACTTTTGGGTATTAGTTACTGCTGTATTTAAGACATCGAAATGCCTTCGTTAAGGAGATCGTCAGAATGCTAAATGTGCGGTCGCGTAATAAAGGT